TATATATAAGATTTGTTTTCTGTAATAGAGACAATGTCCAAGCAAATCTAGTACCTGGAACCACTGCTGAAGGGGGAAGCTTGTATACTTCATTCGTCCCCCACAGCTTCTTCAAACTCCAACCCAACCCCCATACCGTACTCTTCCCGAGCGAACGGACCAATCAGCGTCTTCCAGTACAGTAGCTAGTACGGTCTGGGGTTGAGACGGTTAATTTCTTGACTACGAATAAACCATATGAGCTGTTTTTGGCATAGCTAAAGCCTTTCTATCAATTTTTACATTAGAAACCTTTCTGGTTTCACTGTGCATTGTCTTTGAATGCATTCCTTCATTCCCATCACACCTATAACATGAGCTGATTAACATATTTTAGAAAATTTCCAAAAGTATCGATTGTGCGAAAAAAAATGGCAATAATTCATGCATAAGATTTATGAACGCTTGTCACATCACATTACAATGCATATCGTGCAAACTTTCTCGAACAATGGATTAATAGGCAAAGTCAATCAGTCAATATGTTTTACTTGATATTTACGACTATTTCCACCATAAGACAAGTTTCACGATCCAGAAAATTAATGGAAGATGAAGAATTTGTTTGATGTCTAATATTGGGACACAATATATACTCGCCTAAAAATCTTCAAATAAATCTTCGGCGAGCAATCATAAATTACATCTTTTTTTAAGAAAATGTAATGTGCCATGCACCTTTCATTTGTAACAAAAATGTATAGATCACACAGGTTTAGGTTAGTGGTGGAGACGGAAATATCGACGGGACCATGCTGTATCCGTTGAATTTCAACTCTATTCGACGTGTTCTGGAGGATCCATCGGTGCTAGATGGCAAACGAACAGAGGTGAGTGCTCTTGAACGGAGATTTATGGATGTCTAAGCTTGGTGGAGGAGTGAAACTATATCTGATAGAATGATGAAACGCTTTTTGGGTTGCTTTGTATACTTAAATCTTCACAAAAAAGCATTTGTTGGGGCCCTACTTGCACCGCTACAGCGTGCTATTTGAAATCTTTGAAAATTGCTATAAATAAAAATGTAGCTAT